CTCGAACTTACTTCCACCAGCTTCTTTGATGCGCTTAAACAATGGCAATAGGAGCTTGGGAGCGTTCTTCTTTAACTTTTCGCAAATTACACGAATGAGGCTTATCGCATCCATCTCGTTGACAAGTTGCGCTAAAAGCTCCGCCATATAATCATAGTACAAGGGAATGTCGATAACCAAGTCTTCAGCGTAGCTGAGTTGGTCGCCCAGAACGTTCTCCAGATTCCGAACGCTGAGAATGCGCGCGTTGTGAAGCTCTCGAATGGCTTCAGCTAAGCGACCAATATTCTTGGGCTTATCGACGACGAGGCTGATGAGATTAGCGATGAATTGCTCGAGGTTGTTCGCGTGAACCCGTTCGCAGAAGTCAGTCAAGAAGTCCTCCTTGCTTCCGTTGGTGAGGAACTCGGCGAAGATCCTTTCTGCGTAGCGCATGACCTGGTCTTCGTCATCGTCGGTGTTGCCATTCAGAGAGTAAGTGGTGCCCGGACCGGACACGGGTCCGGACAGGCTCGGAGTTCGGCTCGACGGTGCTGAACTTCGCGGGCCCGATTGAGCTCGGCTGTTTCCAGTATGACTTAGATGTCGTGCTCCCTGGATAGCGGCATCTCGATCCCTCACACGTTCACGATCGTGAGCTCTTGAAGGTGAGCTTTCATGTGATCTGACCGGAAGGTCGCTTACGTCTGTGCTGAGGAGCTCAAACTTGTTCGTTGAATTCATGTTCGGTGAGGAATCGTTGTTATCCAGACGGCTGCTACCTCTTAAGCTGGAGTTCCGGCTCCCACCGCCACTAGCTCCTGCCACCCAGTTCTGACCGCCACGGCTGGTGCCGAAAGGAGTCGTCATTAATGGCATCTTGACTGATCCCAGCAATTCCTTCGTCTGTTTCCACATGCCCTGACCCGAGCCAGCACCCTGAGACTGGTTGCCGTAATTGCGTCGATTCCGATCGTTCGGCATCGAGCCGTAGCGAGTGTTGCCTCCGCCCCCACCGCCACCGGACGAGCCCGCTGAGGCACTGGCAAGAATCTTCTCGTTCTCGGCCTCCTTCTGAATTTGATCTAACGTCTTAGGTGCCTGCTCGTCACGCCGCGGTATCCAATTGCGATTCTTCAACTCCCACACGTCCTCGATCATGAAGATCACTCTCTGGGGCAGACGATTTGCAGGCGACTTCTGTGAATCTCGATTCTCCACCATGATCTTCTTGAGCAAGTTCATCAGTTCTTCATACTCTGAGGAGCATTCAATGGTTAGTCAGTATCGAATATTCTCTCATCGTTCTCCGGATGATAATAATCGAAGTCTGTATATCGGGATTTCGTTTCTCGTCGAATCGATTGGATATTCTCGAAGGAGGGCCCTAGAGCCGCTGTACTCACTATCTTTAAATGGTGATTTCGTTTTTTCGTTGGGTCCCCTGCTGTCTTCGCTCAGTTTCTTACCGACCGTGGTGAACAACTTGCATGCGCACACAATCGAGTCCTCGTCGGTCGGATTTTTCAGGAGTTTCGTGAAGCAGTCGTTCATGATGTTGAAGTTGAGGATACCCAGATTGTACAGCTCACCGATGAACCTCATGAGACCTAGGGTACGACGCTTTGCCTTCACATCGATTTCATCGAACTGCTCCTGCAACTCCTTGCGTTGCTGGTCCGTCTCGCAGGCTTCTAGTTTCTTGCGGCGCTCCTCCTCTTGGATTTTCTCGCGCTTCTTGCTCGCGTCGGAATCATCCGTATCTCGCTCGAACTCTTGTTGGCATTTTTGTAACAACATTTTGCGGAAGTTCACCGTCGTGACCGTCGAACTGTCCGGATCTTTCTTGGTGACTTGGAATTCGGCCAGCACCGTATGACACAGTCTGGCGTAGGTTGAGGCGAAATGTGTCTCGTTCAACGCTTTTTCCAGCACGAGACTAGTCACCTTCGATAGACGTTCTTCAGTATTGATTTCGAGCGCCTTGACTTGTTCCAGGAGGGCGTTGAACTTTTGAGGCGTGAGTTTGTTGAGGATGCCTCGGAACTTCTTGTAGAGCACTGCGTCGGAATTTTCGTTTTGTTCCTTCACCGGTTTCCAGGCGTTTTCGGCAGCGTGGAGTTTCACGTCCTCGTTCATGGTTGAGCTAAGGGTGATGATCTTCTTGGTTCGATCTGAGGAGCTCCTCATCTGAGATTGTTTGTTCCTATGCATAGAACCGACCCCTGGTCGTGGTCCTGGAACAAGATCGAGCGAGGTGATTAATTCGGATTCGCGAGCGGTGAGCGCTCGACCAGCTCTCACGTATGATACATATACATCGAAACGCACACACACACATATACTGTTGGTGGTAAGACGCATGCTCAGGATATCAAGCGCTGCATACCGTTAGGGAAGGCCATTATAGGAAAATTACCGTTGCGCTGAGAGTAGCTATCCAAACTGGCCGATGCGTGACTGACACCAGGAGTTGGGGGCAAAGTGTGCCTGTGGAAGGTTTCTTTGAAAATGTCTAGAATGGGCATCTCCGCCGGCGGATTCATCGATAGCGGTCGACTCTGCAGTTTGAGCAGGAACTCCCGGTCGTATTGTTTCTTGCCGTCAGGACACAGCGGACTCCACTGTCCCGGCTTGTACATGTGACCCGTGACCGACGCGACCGTATCCGTTTCACCTTCGTCGGAAACGATTTCGCCTTCTTCGAGAACGGTGTCGGACGCCGCCTTCGGACTGCTCGGAACGGCTTGCTCAACGTTTTTCATTTCGCCAGCCGCGCTTACAGCCACGGCGGCGGCGGTCGCGGGAGGAGGACGCGCGACGGGCTCCTTCGGCGAGTCGACGACCTCCTTCTGCGGCTCTTCGGCCAAAGGAGTCCTGGCGTTCTCGGCACCCGGCTTGAGCTCATCCTGAGTTGAAGCCGCTGGTGTTGCAGCATTCTTCTCAGGGGCAGCGACCGCTGGTCCCGTGGAGTTCTCCAGGGCTGGGACTGTCTGACCGTTGTCGTTCTTGGTCGCCTCCTGGCTCTTACGCAGATTCTCCTCGTTGCGCTCTTCGACCTTGCGACGGCTCTCTTCGTCTTCGTCAGCGGCCAATTTCGTCGCGTTGGACTCGACTTTGACGGGAGCGCTCACTACAGGCGCGACTTCCTTCACGGCTTCCACCGGAGCCTCAGATGCCGGCGGGAGCACCTGGGCCGGCGGCGCCACCACAGCTGCGGGAGACGCTACGTTCGCTCCTGGAAAAAGCAGAGAGGAGCATGAATAACGTACGCAGTCATATAGATTTCCGGCCGACGGTCACGTCGTCGCATGCGATGCATAGACGAATCTACAGCGTACAAAACTTCCAAAAATCACTACATGTATCGATTTTGGTGAATGTCTCCTCGTCAGGAGCTAAAGCAAAGTATCGGGAACATAACAAGTACAGTCTCATCTAGGGGAAGAACCGAGAAAAACGATCCCGTCCGAGTCTGTACATATTGCCCTCCGACAAGAGGCGGAGGACTCGGCAGATTATCGACTCGAGCTAAGGATCTCACGCATGCTTGTGAACATACATGAACAACTAGAGCCTCGAGGGATTACCAAACTGACCGAAATTTCCTTCTCTCATCCTGTGTCGAGAAAACGAGACATGGACGATAGCCGAAACATCGGAAAATGCATCCACAACAAAAAAGAGGTCCAAGTAAACGGGGATTCCGTGCTGATGCCTCCGAAGCGACACAGGAATCGAATGTGACCCCAATGGAACAACAACATGGACTTCAAGAACTACAAGGAGCTCCTCATGGGTAAGCCGAGGGGGGGGGGACAAGGAGCATGACAGAACAAGGGATAAACAATCAGCTAGATGAAATCTCTCCGGGGCGATTTTCGGTACTCGAAGGAGCATGCGGCAGCAGTCACCTCTAGACGTGCGCGCTCCCCTCGATGTTTCGATGTCATCGCGAGCATCGTTCGATTTGCTCTTTGCGGCATTAGAGACTCGATCGGCCGACGAAGCCTCTGCGACAGACACGGGGGACGACGCTGCGTTCGCGGTCCGAGCCGGTGAAGCTCCGGGTTTTTTCGTCGAGGAACTATTCGACTTCGGAGACTCGGCGCGCTTCGTCGCCGCACGATTCGGCGAGACTCTGACGGGAGCCGGGCTCGCGGAATCTTTATCAGCTTGGGACACAGTGTCTTTTGCAGCAGCCTGTTTCGTGGAGGCTTCTTTCGATGCGTCGAGTAAATGGGAATCAGCTGTTTTGGGAGCGGGCCCCGGCGACACTTTCGTGGGCGCGGCTGGGGGCGGTGAGCTGCCTACGAACGGGCTCGCGGTAGCCACAGTCGAAAGCGAGGGTCCTGCAAGTCCACCCGAGCTTTTGAGATACAGGGAGCTGAATAGCGTTCATAAACGAGGAATTCCGCACACAGCATGGGGGAGGGTGTTTGACAAAAAGAAAAAGTTGTAATAAACAAAGGTGAATGTCCCAAACGAGAGAAACGTGCGTCCTGCACCGGCAGTAGGCACCGGGAGATGTATGAAGGCAACGTGGCGAGCGAACAACGCCCTTCATTCAACTCGGTCCAGTCGATTGGTCACCGCAGAAAAAAACTCTGGTCGTCTCCGGTTGAAACTCGTAGATCCTCTCATCCATTTCTCAGTCTCCATATACTTCGCCAGGAGTTCCTGTCCCGAACCTGCTCTTGTCAGAGATGGAGCGGAATCAGAGATAGAGCTCGCTACCGGCTTACCATTCTGCACCACAGCACAGGCCGAGGCATGGCTCGTGGCATCGACACGTGCATTCCCGATTCCGTTCTGAGCATAATGGTCAGCATGATTCGCCGACGAGGTCCTGCTTCGAGGAGCTGACCGTCTAGCCGACGGCTTTCGGTTTCTCTTGGGCTTTTTGTGCCGCTCCATGATCTTCTCACCACTATCTACACTGGCTCTCCATATCAATCCGGCGGTAGGTTCGTCCAAAGAGCTGATTAGGTTTTCGGCTATGCCGGTACTGCCACGCTGGAATGACTCGACCGCTGTCCACGAGCTATCAGGCCTCTGGCCAGCATGGTCTTCTGCGGGCGTGGGCGCCGCTGCTACTACATCATGGTGTGCAAGGCATCTTCCAAGCAGCGAAGCGTCCGCTAGAGATCCGGTGCAGGGCAGAACTTCATCTCGGGACTCGCACGAACTCCGAATGGGCAAACGGACAAAGGGAGCGTCGACTCAGCGAGCCCGTATGATGATAACGGGAACGCAGGAACTTTGAACTACGGCTCTACAAACACTCGAAGACGACACGAGATCACAATCGAACCAGTCGTCGTCGTCGCTGCTGCTGCTCGACAAACACGGCGCGAAGAGCGAAACGAGTTCACCTCTGGCATCTAGCAGGAACACGGGTAGCGGACAGACACAGCCCAGAGCTCTAGCTGGTGGCAGCATCGGTTGATGCCGCCGCGCCGCCGCAGCCGACGACGACTACCAGGATCTCCAGCAGCAAGAGAGGCGGCAGCAGCAGCAGCACCGGTGTCGCATTCTGGCTGACAATGTGCCGGAGTGCCCTGCGGAGAACATCGTACCACCGGGCTCGTGTATGCTCGCCGGAGCTAAGCTAGCTTCCAGAATGCGAGCACGCGGCGTTTGGTCTGGCTCTACCCATCGTTACCATGCCGCCGGCCGCTTCCGAGACGGCTGCTGCTGCTGTCAAACGAGTTTGGCGTCGTCGTTGTCGCCGCTGCCACCACCGCGCGCGTCCACTCTCTAGAGAGCACAGGGCCCCTAACGGCGTGATAAGCGAAAGGATACTGGTTAAGCGCTTCCATCTGATAGTTCTGCGCTTTACGGCGTCTTGGCGAGCGCTGCTCGTTCTACAGCAGATCTATTATCGTCGTACTGAGCATTTGAGAATCTTCAGACTTGACGATTTGGGACGGACTGCCCGGTATTGATCGCGGGATCAAGTAAAGTGGGACGAGAGTCCGCCGTCATATGTGGGGACACCACATTTCCCACGCTTCCCGGTGCAGTGGATCAAGCAACTTCAGGGGAATATGTGACCGGCCGGACTGGCTGAATGGTCCGCACGCGGCGCGCTGGGCGAGAATGGCTGTGAGTCACGTGAACGGAAGGCTTAACTAGAACCAGTTCTCCTCCTCCCGGATAACGGACTCCGACGAGTAATATTGCGACAAGATGAGTTGCGCAAACGGATAATGAATGACGCAGCATCTTCAGTCGTGACGGCGCTGATTCAACTGCCGAACGAAAGCGGTTGCCTCTTCTATAGAGATAGAGACGTCACGCGTCACGCCAGAATGACGAGATCGCTCCCTTTCTCATAGTTGCCTGTCGTTTCGGTCCTGCTCTGCCTTCTCGAAGATAAGGAAGCGGACAAGGAGCTGAACTTACCAACTTGAGGAGCGGGAGAATGGCTACCGGAAGTGTTCTCGTGTTTCGGAGCCACATCCACCAGGCCGGTTTCTTGGGGAGGGACCGGAACGTTTGGCTGCTGTTCCTGAAAAAAATAGAAACCCATGATTCTCGGCGCTCAATTCGCTCCGGCTTGTATGACAAGCATCAAAACCACTCGACAACCGCCCTGTGAACGTTCTCTCACGTACCTGTTCCACAACGGGGATAGGAAGCGGCGGCGGCGGCATTGCCGCGCTCGAAACGAATACCTGAGCCGTCGGAGGCGGAGGTCCAGCGATAGGAGCTCCCGCGGCAGGTATGGGCATGCCCGCCATCGAGGGCTGGAGCACCGGTACCGGGTTCGCCGGAGCCGGAGGACCACCCGAATTTTTGGAAATCCGAAGATTTGCCAAGACGTCTTCGCCCGTATGCGGATTCACGATCGATAATGCCTTGCTTTGCCGTTTCGGCAGTGGGGCTTGAGCTTGCTGACTTGGATTCATCATCTGAGGCGGAGTCATATTCGGCGGCATTTGTGCGTTCTGTATGCTGGAGGGAGGAACAAATAAACTCATAAGATATGTGTACGCCGAATCCAGAGTCGAAAACAGCAGCGCAGGTTTCCAAGACACGGCTGAGAGGTCGACGATAATATAACGAAGCCGTCGATGGCGCGAGCGATTCCCGGATCGTCGGGGAAATGGCACTCACTAATAATTCGGAGCGAAAGACTGGCCACCGGACATCGGGAAGAGTTGCTGCCTGAATCCAGACGACATGTTGACGGGTGGAGCAGAGAGACGAGTCTGTAAATTGAGAGAGCGATGAATGAAAATAAAAAAATCGACGAAATCGATACGACGCCCGCAACGGATAGACATCCCCGCAGGTGGATTCCACTCTCTGTACCAGGGTTCTGACTCACCGCATTGTAAGGTGCCTGTTGATTCCTCAACATAACAGGAACATAGCGCTGTTGGGCCATCATGCCCGGAGTATGCTGTAAGGGGATCTGTTGCACCTGCAGTCCGGGCATGCCTCCGAAGGGGCTCATGGGGACTCCGGCTTGATGGGGATGAGATCCCGGATTGACGACATGCCCTGGCCCGGGCTTCATGTCTGGCTGCGCGAGCCCGCGCGGAGCGTAAGCGGAATACACTACGGGAGGATAGACAAAATACATCATCGCGTCACCTCGAAGGTGTCGGAACAACTACCCAAAACGAATACTCGAGGGCGACCATATAAGCTCAACTTATCAATCAATCGAGAAAGTGGTGAGAGTTGAACTTCTTCGTATTCGAACTAATCAGCCACATTGGCCCCGAAATCTAACAACAATCAATAGCGAACAACCCGGGTTCTCGATAATTGATAAAAAATAGAGATCGCTTCAGAGCGCTTCCGCGAAGACCGAAGTCCTGGGATGAGCTCGCTTGCAGAAGCAGCACCGAGTCAAAGTGCTCGATTTCGACCGACTGAGCGGTTGCCGATGTACTCCCGGCTCGTATCTCGCATACTCCGGAAGTTTCGGACTTTGGATCTGACGCATCGATAAAGATTTTGGAATGAGCAAAATACAAACCTCCGGACGTTGGCGGCCGCAATCTGCAAAGAGAGAAACAAAACTAAGTTCCACGATTCTGATACGGCGACAACCCCGTCGCAGTCGAACGACAGGAATCGAACGTGAGAGACCCGCAGAGTTCGAGACGCGCACTCGGAACCGCTTACGATATTTTCCTCGCTTCCGTCATTCCCCATCGAATCGAAAAGGTGTAAGCCTTAATCTCAGGAAGCGTATGCCGAATAGAAGCTAACGAACACAGTCCGCCTGTCGCATTGAATTTGCGATTTCCTCGTTCGTATGGATGCAATATCATCTGATCGCGCCAAAAGAGCGATGCGGGCGACGGGCAACCCGAGTGAGTATACAACGGAAATTGACCAAGTCGCTCCCTCCGAGAAGTATTCGATGTAGGTGGCGCCGTCAATTGTCGAGCCGGATCGGATCAATGACGTCGGCGACGCAAGGCAAATAGTTCCAGACCGAGCGGGATGCGGTGGCGAGCCAGCCAGCCAACTAACTAGTGTGCTTCTAACCGGCGAAGATGCCAGCTAGCCACCGACGCGCTATCGGTGAAGGCACCGACGACGACAGAAACGAACGTATCGGCGTAATCGGTGTCGGGGAGGCGCGTCTTCCTTTAACCTTCGAAAAGTTTGAGAGCTCCTTCTCTCAAGAACCAGATCCCTTCCCGGAACGGTCATCCCGAGTGAGTACCAAGGGATCGGATGGGGATTCCGCAACGTCAACACACCTGTGCCGCGACGCTCAACTTCGATTTAAGAAGAGCGCGGTGAGGGATCGACGAACGTTGAGCGGTCCTAACGGAAGTTACACTCCGGCTTGCGAAGACTTCGGCGCTCGCGTGTTTTTTCGGAGCTCCATTCTGGAGACGATCCTCGCGAACCACCCGTACGCAGCGAAAGTCTCGTCCAATCAACGCGAGCCTGCTGACCCGTCAGATCGGAGCCAACTGCTGCGCGGTGTACGCCGACCGCGAGTCTGCGCGCAGAAACGGTACGTGCGTGCAACTACTCGGCGACTTTCTGCGCATTCCGACAAAGAATTGGACATCCCGAAATTCTATGGATCTACATTTGCCGCATCCGGTCGCCGTTCGAAAATGTTCAGACAACTTCAGAGTGTCCTGTTTCCGATGGAGGAATAATTTCGGCTCATTTTCGATGATGACTCCCGAGTCTCGACCGTAACTAAAGGAATACTATCGCTGGAGCCGTGCTGCTCGACCGGGAGAAAGAGAATGCGGCGCAGACGGAACGCTTCGACGACGTTGTCGTCAAAAGCAACGGGATACGCTATCCGAACTTGAAGCCGACTACAAAACCGCATTCCACACGCTCAGTCGCTACGTGGATCGGTTCTCAAGCAGCGGGTGTTGATTAGACATTCGGAAAGCTCGACCAGGATAGAATAATCGCCGATCAACACCGACGACTCGATTGAGTGACGATTCCGACAAGGTCTCAATCACTCTTCAAATAATCCAAATCAAATGATCCCAGTCGAGCAGCTGTTCTCCGAAAGGCTGCTGATCCGCTCCTCCTGACGTCGGCGACGACGACGACGATGATGATGACGACGCTCCTCGTGTTGTGCTTACGGGGCTGCTGTTGCCGCCGCCGTCGTCGCCGCCGCCGCTACTGCTAACTACAGAATGCTCAAATCCATCCATCCACCCATCAATCCATCCATTCGGCTATCATGTGCCGTTCTTCCCATAGCCGAACTTCCTTCGATGGCCCGTGTGGATTTCCGAGCGTGATTCAATTGAACGAGCGACGAACGGGGAAAAAAATAGCGCCTCACTAACTAATTAAGCGACTATCACTCGGAGAAGGGCTCCGAAGACGTCGAATCGCCGACGATTGAGATCTGGTGTGAGACACCTGATTGGACGGCGTTCGTCGAATTCTGTTGCCTTCCAGCCGCTCATCCTATCCATATGGACTCGGTGGAAAAACTCGAACTCGACGTACACCGGAGCGAGGATCTCTCGAGAATAAATCCCGACACGGAGCCGAAGTGATTCTCCCGTTAGACCGAATCCGAGTCGGCCGAATTAGCGACCAGTCGTGGTGGTGGCAGCGACCATTCGAATTGATTTGAACGAGAAGCCCACAAGAAGGCACCACCGAGGAACGGACTCACAAGAGCAGCGAACACATTTGAGCACACATTCGATTCCGGCCGATGTCAAACACGGTTCGCCACGAGACCGGGTAGAATGCGAATGGGTCGATTTCGGTCGACCCATCCGGAATTCGAGCCTCGTTCGAGGAGGGAAATGGAGAGACCACACCATACTTACTGAGTGGGCGCTGGGGGTTGCGAGTTCGTCCTGTGTTGCGGAGGCACGTTGTGATTTGACGGCGGTGCAACGTGCTGTGCTTGATGGGCCGGAGGCAGCGGTGGATACTTCGCTGGCGGTTGAGTGTTTCGGCCACCTTGGTTATTGGCTGGGCCACCGGACGAGCCGGCGCTCTGTACCATACCGGAATGAGACATGGGGGCAGCCCGTAGGGCGCACTCTGCACAGCCCGAGCTCCTAGTTAGCTCGCATAGCACTTTGTCACCTCGAGACGAAACACGGCGCGACGCTTTTTCAACAAAACACGCTGATTTACAAAGATTTTTCTGTCGGCTTTATGTCTTGCTTAAACACAGCGGCCAACAAGATGGCGGCCTAAGAGAAAATGCTGCTGCGGCTGCTCACTCGCTTCTTCCTTGCTTGTCGTGCTACTGCTGCTGCCGCCGCTGCGGCTGCCGCTGTTGGCGACTGCTCGCCGCTGCTGCCGCCGCCTGATAGCACCGAATGAACGAATGCGGACTTCGACCCGCGAACTTTGAAACTGTTCTCTGGCTGTTGGAACTCGATGGGGATCACTGCACCGGAACGGGTGGAACAAGGGACCTACTGGCTCGAGTGCTCGCTCTGGCACTACTGACTGTGAGCTCGCGAGCACGGAACTAGGTTCGGTGGGTTTTCCGTCGCACTATCCACAAGTTCTCGGAGCCCCGAACCCCTCTCGGTGTCCGGTGCTGCCACCACGCGCGTCGAGCACGGATCCTCCCCTGGAGAGTGCTATGCTCGGTCCAGCGGTGCCTCGCTGGCGGTGACGTGTGCCGTAGCCGCTGCGCCCCAGAACGCACTCCGAGTACCCGGTATCCGACTCACCCCGCCGGCCGCCGTTTGCTCGCCTCGCTCGCTGTTTGATCGACCGCAAGACTGATCTGATCGAGCCCAGATGCATGGGGATCTCTCGCTATGGAATTCGCGCCATCCGTTCTGCACTTTCATTGTTCTTGGAGGTTTGCAAAGCTCATCTCTCATCACCCACATCGGGGCCGGTCGCTTGTTGGAACTCACTGATAGCCTCGATCTCTGCTAAGGATTCCTCAAATTCGAATCCTGCCCTGGATGGGTTTCCTTTATGAAAAGACGATGGATAGGAGGTTCTTCTATATTCAGCGGAGCTGATTCTGCGCGCGGTCTTTCCCTGGAAACGCTTTTTCTCGGCTCTTAGCAGAATCTTCCCGAAGCGCCACAAGAGGTTTGATCTTTTGATCGTGAATCAGTCCGTCGAACTAGGTTTACGCTTCCGAGCCGCAGTCGAACCATAGCCGCAGTCACGCATGTGAGCGCTCCCTTCTCCTCCCGTTTCGCTGATTTGGGGACAGTGGAGAAAATTGATATCGGAAGTACTCCTATGGACAAAGTCCCCTCCACCCCTCTCAGGGTCCCTTCAACGATAATGGCGGGTTCCCCTGCCAACTCCGAATGGAAAGAAAGTCAGAAGCTTTCTCACCTTCCTCGGGGGTCGCATCAAGCATTAAAATTTATGCCTTTCCGGCGCGTCTCACGAGGAAGCTCGGGTTTCCGAGTATGTCACCTGCTGCCACTCGTACCAGTCGGATGCCATGGTCGGTAGCGCCGAAACAGACGGCGCTCGATTGCACCCGGGATGGGAGAATGACGCCAAGGTAGACAACGTGGCAATCTTTACTCATCTTCGGAGAATGATTCTCCATCCTGTACTTTTTCCCCCTTTTTGACCCCCTCTGTTGGCTGTTCCCTGAGCCTTGCGCTCTATTCAAGAGCCCTGTGGCTCCGGAGTCGATCCGTCTCGATTTTGAGAGCTCTAGGGTCCTGTGTGAAGGAAATGATGAATCCATCCTCTACCTTAGGCTCATATTGTTCCGTTGCGAGACTTCCGACGACCCCCGCAGGAGTTTGAATTTTGGGACTTACGAATCGAATAGGGAAATCCCGAGAAACACGATCTAATCTACAATCACGGAGCAGACTGAATATTCAATAATTCTATTTTTCACGTAGCCAACGTCATCGCACGTAGAGGCTACATTGCTCGAAAGATGAGGTGGTGCGAACCTTTCGTGAGATCGAACCCCGATCGCATGTGGTGTGTTTATCATTGTGAAGATTCGACTCTCCCTAGGAGACCTGAAAAGTCTCCGAAAGGGGAAGCTCTAAGGGGGAGCTGCGCGACAGAGGGAAGTGCCACGTCCCT